TTATTTAAGGAAATTATATTTTGCTTAGTTTTAGGTGTTTTTAATTATTTATTTATTTTTTACAGTGGCCTTTCTTTATTTTCTTGCCTTGCAGGTTACAACATGATTCATTTTACCCCATTGCAGACTCTTGGGAAATCTAGATCATGCTACTCCCTTGCTGATCAGTTAGAATTAAATCCTGACTTTTCCAGACCTAATAAAAAATGTACCTGGAATGACGTTGGACAGCTAGTGGAAAAATTGAAAAAGGAATGGAATATTCTTTGTATTACCGATGTTGTCTACAATCATACTGGTATGAGCTTTGTTAACTACTATTCATTTTGATGAAAATATTACATTCTAATTATTCCATTCCTTGCTGTTTTATATAACAGATTTTGAAAACACAAATGATGCTTAGGTGTCCTTCAATTTTAAAGCCACTTTACATAGTACCACTTTTTTTCTTGCAAAGAAAACAGTGTTAGTTGAAGATATAATCAGTATGTAAGTATTTTCATGTGATGATTATAAAAACAGGAAAATGATCATAGAAGGCACTTAATGATCACATATTTCAACTAACAGTATTAATACTTTTCAGATCATCTAATGAATCCTATATAGCAGCAGCTCCTTACTGTATTTGAAAAAAAACTGAATGACAGCTATTTAAAGAGAAAATTATTCGTAAACTCTTAGAAGTTAAATCTGAAAATTTTATCTTCTACATGTTAATAAAGCTCATCAAAGTTAACCTGTTTTGGATCCCAAGATTCCTTACCAATAGACAATTCCATCAGCTATATCAGAGCTTTCCAACTGGTGGTCTTCTGGGAGATGATTGCTCCGCTCACCTGAGTAGCTGGGCTTGGAGAAGTCTCTGGCCATGATCAGCTTTCAGTTTAACGCAGTATACCTTGCAAATATTATCTTTCTGTGTGCCACAAAAAAAAACCTGAAAACACTGATTTACATATGTAAACAACAGGAATTCTGAGCGGTACCAAATATTTAACAAAAATATTTTCTGGCATGTTGTAAAGTTCTTTTCCAAGTAACCATAGGAACTATGAAGATATGTAAAAGCTCAAAGATTTGGTTCATCAATATAGATAATAATCTGTAGTAAAAATAATACATCAAAGTTAGGCAAAAAAAAATGGCCACATTCTAAAATTTGTTGNTGTTCACTGGCTCCTCATTTCATCAGAGAAGCCAAAATACTTACAATGGCCTTCAAGATTCTGCATGATCTGGCTCCCCGTTACCTTTCTTTCCTCATATCCTGCTACCCCTTCCAGTCCCGCCATACTGAGCTTCTTGTTATTTCTGGAACCACCGTGCATGCTGCTATCCTAGGACCTTTGTGCGCTCTGCTTCCTTTGCTTGGTGAGCACTTGCCCTCGATGGCCATGAATAGCCATGTGACTAACTCCCTCACTCGTCACAAGCCCTTTAATTTCTCAGTAATCATCCTACTTAAAATTGCGACCACCTCCTCACCCTCTCCCCTACTCCCGTTTTCCTTACACTGCTCTGATATTTTTTTTCTCTTAGCATTTATCCCTTCTTGACATAACTATTTTTTCTTATTTGTCATGTTCATTGTTTAATGGCTGCCTTTCCCATTTAGAACTTAAGCTCCACAAGGACAGAGAACATTATCTATTTTGTTCCCTGTTATATGGCATGTGCTTAGTACATACTTTTTATTACTTTGTTGGGTGTTTAATAAATTGAGCATTAAAAGTATGAATATTAGTATGCCTCTTTCTTCTCAAAAAGTTCTTTAAGCTTAAATATTACAAGCAGCAGAACTAAATTTTTCTCCCTTCATCAGTTATTAGTGCCCATGATTAATTGAAATGTTCCATTCATGTTTAAAATGTATATGCTTTATTTTTCTAATACACTTTGCCATAATCAGAATTTTCATATTCTAATAATTATAATCAAGGTTTGTAGTCTGTCATGAACCAACGAAAATTTTTCTTTTACAGTAAAGTTATAACTATAATGTGTTAATTTTTTACCTCTATGGCAAAATACTTGTAACATAGTATAGAAGTCTCAGATACATTTTGATAGAAATAGGCTGATTTATGCAAAAATGGGAATGATTGGCTCTCAGAATTCCAAGAAAGGCTTAAATAACTAAATCATGAGGAGCAGGGATATAGGCAGTAGTAAGCTGGAGTCGCTTGTGTGGCTCACAAGAACTGATGGTGCATATTCCTGATTCCATGGGCAGTGAGTGATGTCAAGNAATATTTTAAATATACATACCTATTTTTTAACTATTGAAATTTTTCAGTGCATTCGAAAAATAATTTGGGAGGATATTTTTCCGAAGATTCAACTCTGGGAATTTTTCCAAGTAGATGTTTACAAAGCAGTTGAGCAATTTAGAGGACTTCTTACACAAGGTAAAGGATATACACTAGAATGTTTCTATCGATTTTAAGAAATGTAATGTTACTCTTAAAGGCATAACTCTTCTTTTCTCTTGGTTGACACATTCATTATTATATGATATTTGTATTTTTTTGATACTTATTTATAAAACTATGATTCTGGAATCTGATAGCAGAAACGTCTAAAAGGCATGTCATAATAATACATAGCGTAATTATTTCCCTCGGGGACTGTTTCTTACTATTGGTTCCTTAGCACAATTGGTTTGTAGCTCATAATTCATAAGAGCTCAGTATATATTTGTTAAATGCATGAATGGGAGGTAAGTAAAGCAGATTATTTCAGCTGCAAAAGGCTCAAAACAGGCTTTGAAACAGAGATGGAATAGTCTTCTGTTGGCTAAAGTAGGAACTGTAACTGACATAGAGGAGCTTCCAGCTGATGGTGCCCACCATTGAGGCCACCTAACTCTAGTGAAATGGACCCAGATATTAGCCAGTAACAAAGGTAAAGAAATGAATCATCAGTTAAGGACGTCACTAACCTCAAGAAGCTGATCATTGTGCTCCTAACAAAGCAGGATAGGAAAAGCCAGGCTAAAAGAGAAATTAGGGTTTTTAGGAGGCAAATTAAAGAAAAGAGAAAGATTATGAAGAGTGCATTAGCAGTTAGTGTAGGACAGCCCAACAATAAGGATCTTCACTGGCTCTTAAAGAATTATCTTCCTCATCCAGAAACTAGAGCTAGAACAGGGCCCAGAAATACTGCCTTTAAAGTCAGCCAGTATGACTTGAGGTCCCAGAGTTTTAGAGTCATGTTCACTTCAGTTGTATAACATCTTAATACGTGAATGTTTGATAGTAACTTTCCTTCATGTTATGTTTTATTGATTGATTGATTGATTGATTGATTTTAAGATTTTGTTGGGGAATTGGGGGAGGGGAACAGACAAGCTGCTGTCCTTTTGTTCTTCAGTCTATTTGTGGAGGANATTTATTTCACTTAGCATGATACTCTCAAGAGCTAGACATTGTTGCAAATGACAGTATTTCACTTTTTATGGCTGAGTAGTATTCCATTGTTTACATATACCACATCTTTATCTAAAACATCTGTTCTTTATTTTGGTCATTTAAATCCTACAATGAGTTTATTAAAATGTGCTTTTTGTTTAGGGTTTGAACTACAGTTCCGATTAGGCCCAACTTTACAGGGAAAAGCAGTTACTGTGCATACAAATTACCCATTTCCTGGGGAAACATTTAATCGAGAAAAATTTCGTTCCCTGGAATGGGAAAATCCGTTAGAAAGAGAGGATGATTCTGATAAATACTGTAAACTTAATCTTCAACAAGCTGGATCATTTCAGTATTACTTCCTTCAAGGGTAAGTCATGTGTTCTGTATGTTAAAAAAAAAAATTCTATAATTTGAACTTATCTAACTTGTAAAAAGTCACTATATGAACCATGGCACTGCAATTTTTGTAGGACTTTCTTGAGATGCAAATCGAGTATGGTTCCTCAGTTTCTAGAAAGTGATTGTAAGACTCATTGTAGATTCAAAGTATTATTTTTTTTAAGTAAAATCTTAAATTCTCTAGTCTTTTCATGCAACCAGATTATAGGATACTATTTATCTGAGTGCCCTTGTTATCACTGACAGATTTTAGTACACTTATTTTTTCCTTAAAGCAGCATTATTAGATATTGTATATATTGTATTATGTTATATAGGGATTAGAAAATAATAAATGTGTCTTTTCCACTGAGTTTTATTACAAGTCTTTAAATTATTTTGTGTGCTTGGAAATATATTTCTAAATGGAATAATTCACTTTCAATTAAAGATTCATACTATTAGATGAGAATTGTTTTTTTATCCTATCATTAACTGAGAAGTTTTTGTTTGGTTTTGTTTTCCTTAGAAATGAGAAAAGTGGTGGGGGTTATATTGTTGTGGACCCGATTTTACATGTTGGTGCTGATAATCACGTGTTACCCTTGGACTGTGTTACTCTCCAGACATTTTTAGCAAAGTGTTTGGGACCCTTTGATGAATGGGAAGGCAGACTCAGGGTTGCAAAAGAATCAGGTAATGTCAGCTTTCTTTCTTT